TCGGCGGGCCTGGCTCCGTACCTAGCCGGCGATATTGAACCCAAGCTGCAACTTTGAAGCGATATACACGACAGCAGCCATAGTATCGAGCTCATTTAAAGCCTTTACCTTTGTATATCTAGTATCACGGAAAAGTGTCCGAGAGGAAGGTACTTATCAACGTTCATGCCTACGATCGAGAAATGCGAAGCTTTCTCCGGCTAGTAATTTCGTCTAAAGGGATCCAGTATTTGTTGTAATCCGTAAACTCACATCTGATACAAAAATCAAGATAAGAAGTTGTGTGGACGTGAAGTTCTGTCTGCAGAAGCCAGTGCAAACATAGCACTGTCACTCACCATCTTGTCTGATCTCAATACTTGGGTTAGTGCGCATCTAGCCAGAGATTCTCAAAAATGATGCGCATGGCAAACTGGTTTGATGACTTTTTCTTTTCCTTCCTTCATGTCATGAAGCTTCATTCATCCATTCGAATGTACGGCCTTTTCATACTTGCACTTGGTGTTGGGGACATCGTCGCAAATTTTATCGTCGATGATCTCAGTTGCTACTGGGATGATACGGAAGAGAGTTGTATGCCGAAAGAAATGTGTGTGTACAATTTCAAACTTGGTGATTTTAGTTATAATGCATCGTGTCGAGTGAAAGATGAAGTGAATTTGTACCCTCAGCAACTTCACTTGGCATACGCAGGTGTGGAAGCTGGAACAGCTATGACTGTGTCATGGGCAACGTATGCAGATGTGACGGATTGTGCCGTTTGGATAGGAGAGACTGAAGACACGTTGAAAAGAGTAAAGGCACCAATTGTGAGTCAAAGTTACTATAGTGACAAAGAGTACTTTATGCTTCATCATCATGCAACGATCTCAGGGTTAAAACCCCGTACGAAATATTTCTACAAAGTTGGTAGTAAAGGCGATGAAAAGTATACAAGTGACATCAATACGTTTATTACTGCGCGGCCTGCTACTGATAAAAACACTTTTAATGTCTTGGTGTACGGTGATCTTGGAGAAGGCAAGTTTTCCGTTGATTCGATTGCAGCTTTTAATAAAATGACGTCGGATGATATTGATTTGGTTTATCATCTTGGCGATATTGGATATGCTGATAACGACTACTTGAACAAGAAACAATCGTTTGGGTTCTTTTATGAAGAAGTATACAATAGTTGGATGAATGCAATGATGCCTATCATGAGTCGAGTTCCGTACATGGTTTTAGTTGGAAATCATGAAGCAGAATGTCACTCTCCGAGCTGTTTGGCCTCTCACCGGAAAAGCAGAGCTTTGGGAAATTATACAGCGTACAATGTACGTTTCAGGATGCCACATCAAGAGAGTAATGGAGTTTTAAATATGTGGCACTCTTTTGATCATGGTCCGATCCACTTTACGTCTATATCGACAGAAACTGATTATCCAAATGCACCATCGAATGTCTTTTCACCCTGGACAAATAATGGGAACTTTGGAGATCAACTCTCTTGGCTTGAAGCTGATTTAAAAAAAGCACACGCTAATCGTGCTGACGTACCGTGGATCTTTGTCGGTATGCACCGTCCGCTCTATAGTATCTATGATGCAATCAATGGCATTCCTGTTGGTCGAACACTTTCAATTCAAGCTGCGTTTGAAGACCTTTTTATTAAATACAAGGTTGATGTCGTGCTAAGTGGCCATGTTCACTATTATGAACGACAATTTCCAGTTGCAAAGAACAAGCCTGTATTAGACGGCGTCTCATCCGACGGCAAAGTGTACGACAACCCAAAGGCTCCTGTATATATCCTAACTGGTGGACCTGGTCAGTCTGAGGGACTTACATTGCCACCGGCTGGTAATGCGACCTGGAGAGCAGCTTACGAATATCTTAAGTATGGTTATTCGATGCTACAGGCGAATCGCACGACTCTAACGTGGATATACGTAGCGAGCACAAATCAGACAATTCAAGATAACTTTGTCATGATCAAAGACGAAGTAGATGCGTCATAAAGTGGCTACGTATCTGAACTGAAAGCTTTTATGACGTTATGTAGATAACGAAAGACTGTTTTAGTTGCAGCTAAATCTTTAAAATAATTCACGACATCGTTTGGAAAGATATGATCTCTCTGGTTATCTCACGAAGACTTTTGCCCAGAACATGACAAATGTTAGTTAAAACATTTCGTTCTCTTTTGCATGCCGAAGCAGATTTACTGCCCCAATACAAGCAAATGGTTCAAATGACACTTCTCCATGTTCTTGCTTACTACTGTGTCGTTCTGAATTCACTTTTCGTCGTTGCTTTGAGCGCTTACTTGTACGCTTGATGTGTCTCCGGTGTGACCGAGTAGAGACTTTTACTACTTCTTTACTCTTTGATTGCTCAGTAAATTGAACTTGCTCTGTAGTGCGCTCGTCTTCGCTATCATTGCTATCATAATCGGCACCATACCCATCCAAATCAACATGGTCGGAAACGTCATCTTCATGCCGCTTTTCAGAGCAATTATCATTTTCTTTGAAATTCACACATTCCCAATCATCCTCTGTTCTAACAGATGTACTATCATCCGAGATTTTATCATCGTCAACTCGGCAAAAGGAAGAAAACGCCTCAGTCTGCTCTTCAAGACTCTGATCGGATTCGTCTGGAACAACTTGCTCTTGGCACTCCTTTTGAGCAAAGTCTGAATCTGAACAATCAAGATGCTTTGGTGCAGCTCGAGTATGCGGAGGAAGACGTCCAAAGTCCTTTTTCCATAGGCGTAGAATATGTATATGGTAATCAAAAAGCATCTGAAAATGGTCTTCTGCGGTCATGTGCTGACAGAAATCACGAGGAAGGCGACAAAATATCATGGCGATAACCATGTCCAGTACATTCATGCCCGCTTGAATGCCACCCTCACCACCTGGATTGCCACACGCGTTATGATACTCCGTCTCTTCTAATTCAGGCTCTTTTAAATACTCATTCAATAATGTCACCAACCGTAATTCAATATCCTCCAATCTTCGAAGCATCATGCATTGATTATTTGCCTTACTTCCTGGTTTCGTCAATTTGACGAGTTTTTCACGAAATGAATCGCGTAAGCGAGTGAGCTGTAAACCACGTATCAATTGAAAAAAGTAAGCTAACTCGATCAGTAGCCATTTAATACTGAACACAACGCACCTCGTCAATTTCATCACTAAGTCGATGCAGCTTTTCTTCATATTGCAAAAATTCACTTTCTGCGAGCAATTCCAGCTCGAGAATCACATCTCTTTTCCACTTTATATCTCGAGAACATTGCCGCAAACAATCTTTTAAGTACTCGACACTCTTCCATTTGGACGGATAAAACAATATATGAAGATACTCGCGCAGTGGAATCGAATCAATTTCTAACGGATAGTCTATCATAGCAAACGTATCGTCCGGGTACACCGTATGTAGATTGTTCAGCATCGTCCGTGTGGTGCCGTATGTACAATGAAAACACAACTCTGTTATACCAAGTAGCCACATTAGACACTTTAAACATACTGAAGCTAGCGTTTTGTCACTTAGTTTAACAACAGAAACGACGTGTATCTTGTCGACTTACTCTGTTCAAAAAGCCCTTCAGCCAATTGGGTGAAATGTTGCTGCAATGCATTTTTGACGCGGTGAAAAACTTCCATTATATCTGATGTATTCTCCTCCTCTTTGGACGCAGGAAAATGGTGACGCTGCACTTTTGTAAGGTTAACAATTAGTCTTGGGAAATGATCAGGTAGGTCAGGCGTTGTCTCTTCCTCCCATTCGTCGCCATTTTGGTCGATTTCTGATGCATTTACTAATGATATATCTGCAGTTTCCCAATCACGCTCCTCCCAAGACTTGTCTACTGATGTGACAGTATTTTCGACATCAATGGTGGACTGGATTGTAGTAGTAGATGGTTTACCACGCGTCCGAAGAAATGATGATGGTAAAGGTAGAGTCATGGTCATTGACGAATCGGAAATGACGCGTAGTTCGCTCTGCAGAGATCCCGCAGGTCGCGTGAGCACCTCCATCTCGACGATATGTTCTGTTGACCACTAGGAACTTTGTAT